TTTAACAAGGATGGCCAGGGATGGACTTCCTGAGGAACGTGGGGAAATAAGCCTGAAAGTCTAAGGTAAGAGCCATAAGGCAGGGGACATAGGACATTGAAAGTGAGGCTTCCAGGATTTGAGCAGAAGAGTTTGATCTGACTTATTTTGAAGGAATCCCTCTCTGGTCTTTGTGACAGGATCAGATTAATAGCTCTTTAATGCTGTGTCCATTCCTAAGTTTAGATATGTCTTCCCTCTGAGAAGTAGCATGAAAAATTTGTTAGATAAACAACTGTAAACATGAAATGAAAATCACTTAGTAGAATATGGATATTTTATTCTTTTAAGTAGTACTTTCTTTTTTAACTGATGCATTTTTTTTTTTTTTATTATTGTTGGGGATTCATTGAGGGTACAAGAAACCAGGTTACACTTACTGCATTTGTTAGGGAAAGTCCCTCTTGTACTTGTTTGTGTCTTGCCCCCAAAAGGTGTGTCGCACAGGGAGACCCCCACCGCTCCCCCTTTCCTCTCTCTGCTCTTCCCTTCCCCCACCTTCTTCCCTTCTCTCCCCCCACTCCCCACCGTGTACTAGGTCATTAATTGTTGACTAATGCATTTTAAATGCACTTTTTTGTCCTCTATTTGGAAAGATAAACCACACATATGCCCTGCTTTCTTCAGCCACAACAGACAGTAATCCCAGACGTTGTAATTAAAGTGACTAGAGGCTTTTTCTAACTTTACTAACAGAGTCACGGCTATGAGCCGGCTTCTCCACCTTCCAACACACTCCTCTTCTTCCTATCACATATTTATACGAATAAAAGGCGGTAATTTCCCATCAGGTGGCCCTTGGGAGCTCCCGCGCGGTGTAGCGCCATCCCCCACCCCCCCCACCCCCACCGCCTCATGCTGTCTGCCTGTGGCCGTGACCGGCGTCCTGCTGACCGGCTCCCAGGGCCTGAGTCTGCATTGACTGGCCCTAACTCTCTTATCCAGGCCCAACACTTGCCTTTGAATTTGCCAGATCTCTCAGCTGCCCTTGGTAGCCCGACTCTGGGAGATGCTAGATCTGTGCCTGGCCCGTCCCACCTTCCGAGGCAGCGCTGCTGTCTGAGTGTAGCAGCTCCTCCCCGGCGTCCCTCACACCCACGGCGGGTGCAGGGCCGCCCTGCTGACCGTCTCCACTCTCTGCCCGCGCATCTCTGCCTGCCCACTCTCTGCCCGGACCTCCTGCCCCCAGGTGGCTCCTCTGGCCTCCCAGGGGTCCCTAGTGGGATGAGGACCTTTTAAAAGTCCTGGTGTGCCCTGACAGCGCTGCCGCCGCAGAATCCTCCCAAGCAGCGGCTGTGGATTCGCAGTCAGCTGCGCAGAGACTTTCTCTGCGCCAAGAGACAAAACAATTCTTCAGCAAGAACAAGTGACTTCCAGCCATTTATTTAATCACAGCTGCAGTCCAGAAAATAACCTAGACAACAAGGAACATCCAAAGACGTATTTTATGAACAAATACAGTGAAAGCTCTGAGTGTTCTTTTAGAGATTTTAGAAGCTTTATCAAGTGAAAAAGTTAAGACCTTTATTTAAAACTAAGTAATCCTCACTAATAAATATATTTATGTAAAGAAAATAATGCTTTTTAACATAATAGTCCAAACATAAGAAATATTTTTAGTAGCTTGATTATAGAAAAATATTAATACTTTATAGCTGGATCTAGCAAGTCTTTCTCCTCTGGATTCAACTAACAGCATTCTGAGAAGTTTTTGTCCCCTTTTAATTCTCCTGAGGCAAACGTGAATGAAAAACAAAAATTCCAGAAGGTGCCCATGGACGAGACAAAAAAAAGAAAAACAGAGAAAGAGGGATGGAATCTAGATAATTCACAGAAAACTAATGTTCCAGTTGCTTCAACTACACTAGAATAAATAAAGGGTGGTTGTAATTATTAGAATATAAAAATATTTTTCAGTGTTTCAGATCCCAACAGTAGCATTCCAGATGGATCCTAGATTGGCAGGAAAATACCACACCCTCACATGTATATACACAGCCTCATGCACATACACCCCCACAAATATGTACAGTAAAATTGATTATTAAGTTTCTGATTTAATTAACCAATGATTCAGAACGTGAGGTGACCCACAGCGATCCTTCCCCAGTCCGGTTCCCATGGTCATGCTTGATACATGACCAGGCATCCGGTAACACTAAATTTCCAGACATCAGAGTCATGACCTTTTTGAGCACACAGCCTGTGCTTTTAGCCTTTCAGATACTCAAATGGTTTCTATTCATGATATCCCTAAAGCTCAGTCACTCAGTAGCTTCAGATGTCTGACAGCAATGCTGCCTGATCACATCCAGACCACCTTCTATGAAAAGTAGCCCCCTCTTCAGAGTACTTAACCCCCATATCATTAGTCCATTGCTTGTCATCTGCTTTCCTCCATTGGAAATTAAGCTTTATGAAAGCAGGAGCCTCACCCATTTTGTTCACTGCTGTATCCTTAGAACAGAGAACACTGCCTGGTAGAAAGTGCCCCTCAGCCAATATTTGTTTAATAAATGAATACATGGGAAAAAGATAATTTGTAAAGACAGTATTCTGTTCTAGTTTAGATATGTTGAAACTGAGAAGCTTGGAAGCTTAAGCATGGAGAAAGAGATTGAGGGGTACCCATTCAGCAGGATAAGTGAAGCTAAATGAAATTGGTGGGAGTAGATGATTCATTTGTTAAAGAAAAAAGTGCTAAGAGAGAAGAAAATGGGACGGAGTAGAAAACCTTGGGGAACTCCTGTTTTTGAGAGCAAGGCAGAGAAGAGAATTCAATTAAAGGAATGACCCTAAACCATCTAGTTCCAAGAGGCAGAAGATGTTCAGTCAAGCCCAAACCTGCATGGAGCTCCGGCCAGATGAGAAGCCAGTGCACTGGGGAGAAGGCACTGATGACCTTTAAGAAAACAGTTGTCAATGTGCTCAGTACTATGAAACCAATTTCTAATCACTCACACTTTCATATGAAAGGTGAATCACAACTATAGCACAGGATGAAGGAGGGAAGGGGTTTGATAGAGGGAGGGCTAATGGTGGGACCCCACCTATGGAGCATATTCCAAGGGTACAAGGCAAATCTATCAAATATAGAACACGAATGTCTTAACACTGTGAGTAAATAAATGAGGTGAAAGCTATGTTAATTAGTAGGATGTAAACACTCCAATTTGTACAAATAATTAACACATTGAATCCCACAAAGGCATAAATATATTCATGATCTATGTATATATGACTTAATAAAAGGAAAAAAAGAAAAAAGAAAAAACAGTTGCCACAGAATGTTGGAGCAAAAACCAGGCTGCAGGATCCTGAAATATGAAAGACAGAGATAAAAGGTGGAAGTAGGGAGTCCCTGAGATGGGGAATGGATGAAATTTCCTCCCTAGGACCAAGATGACACATAAACTGGGTCTTAGGTCATAGGATAAAAACAGTAAACAAAATACCTTTTTAACAGCAACAGTACAAAAATATTTCCCTAATCAAAATCAACTTTCTGGGCAGTTTTTCCTCAATAAGCATATAGAGTTTGTTCCTGGAACTCGTTTTTAATGAGCTCTTATGTCTTTCCATTGTACTTTGTATTTTTCGCTGCTGTTGTTTAAAATGTACTCTTGGTTGATAGAGCCTTTAGAAAGTTACCCGAGACCTCATCTCTGTCTCAGTGGGGTCTGAACCTAGTTCTTCAGATTTGAGGGCCTCTTTGCTGTGCTCCATTGACTTGGCTTCCCAGTTATGCCAGAGACAACTCTGATGCATAAACAAACATATCCTGAGGTGAACTCCTGAAAGGCCTCACAGGAGGGTAACTGGATAATAAATACACAGTAGAACCTCTATAAATTGATCCCCCTAGGGACTGTAACAAACTGGTCAACATAGGGAAGACGCCTACTGTACTGACATGTGCCTGTGGTGCATGTCCAGTCTATGAAAATTAGGTCAACTTAAGGAGGTGGTCAATGTAGGGAGGTGGGCAACTATGGAGATTCCATAGGGTGGAAATGAGACTCCACTTTGCTTTCCACCAAAACAAACAAACAAACAAACAAACAAACAAAAAAAACACTGAGTAGTTACGTGATGAAATATATTTCTAGGGGTGTCTAAATATAAAATTGTGATTAAAGTTCTTATTTTTCTGAACACATTGCAAGTCTGTCTCACCTGGGGTTCTAAGCATGCTAAGAAATCACTTGGAAATTGTGTTAAAATAGAGATTGCTGGGCCACACTCTCAGAGTTCTGAGGTAAGAACAGATAATTTGCATTTCTGTCAAATTCTCAAATGCTATGGGTATTGCTGAATAGAACCACACGTGTAACCACCACTGGTTCTTACAAAGCAAAGCATACCACATATTTCTATAACTTTCCCCCTAACTTTCTATTGTTCTTCAAAGAAAATGAGCTAAATTCTCATTCCAGCACTATTGCCATAGCTTCTGTCCGTTTCTCTTGTGAATTATCTTTTAGTTGAAACTTTAAGAACAGTAAAAAGTGATGCAAAGAGTTCCCAAACCTGGATTTCCAAGTTTCTACTCATTTTTAAGTGGAAGGAAGGTCAATAGGTACAAGTGCCTTAAATCAAATCATATAACTGTAACTACCTAGTACTAAAAAGTCATTCTCTTTCAATTGCAAAACATTGATAATATAAATACTTTCCCCCAAAAAAGTTTCTCAATACTTACCTAGAAAAAGAGGTAGTAGTTAAAAAATGACAAGAAAAATAACACTCACTTGCCACACAGATCTTTATTTTTCCATGTTTTAATTTTGTTTTTAGGCCAAAGACAAAACAGCACATCTAGGATCTAAATAAATTAAAGGCAGGTTGTAGTGCTTAAACTGGAAACTTTATAATTGAATTATTTTTCTTCCTTTGAGTAACACGTGGACAAAGAGAATGGACACGGCCATCATAAGCAGAGCCTCCTCATCTGTGTGCAGAGCTGTGGGCAGGTTGAGCAAGGCTCTCAACAGGCACCTCCCCCGTCCCGGGCCGGAGCAATTCCAAAGATGTGAAGGTCAGAACAATTAAAACATTTGTGAGAACAGACGAACACACGGAGAGGTACCAGCCGTAGATTTTTGCTTGTCTTCCAGCTCTAAAAAGTAAAGATTAAAGATGAATTTAAAGCAGTGCTCCATAAATATTTTTGATTGACATAAATATTCAGTTTCTCAGAAGTTTCAGAACATTGATTTCTAAAGAACATTCTATTCTATTCATGATTGATTTGTTCTTTTCCCCCACACATATAAACAAACTTAATGAGCTAAGAAAGCCACACTCAACACTAAACAAAATTCAAATGATAGAAGATTGTATCTGTTTTTATCCAAACATACTACCACAGCGTCTCACCATAAAGTGGGATGAAGGTGAATAAATGGAACAGAATCTGCATGAACTTGATTTCCTCCCTACAGAGGTATTCAAATGATCAATCAGCAAATCTTTACTGAATTTCCCAATGGGCATCTTAGTTTTGCCTTCCCAGGAGTAATTTCCCATGGAAATTAATCTTCCTAACATTCTTTGTTCACTGTCTGCTATGGTCATTAAGATCCTCACTGGCTGAGTCTCAGGCAAGTTGCCCAGCACACAACTTACGGTTCTGTACTTCAAGTATCTCTGATGTTACTTCTCAGCACACCACACAAAATAGGCAGTTAAAACCCTGTTTGCCAATTTATGGCAAAAAATATATATAAAAATATGTGTGCTTATTACTTACGTTTGAAATAATAGCAACCACAAAAGCTTGCCATTTGTACATGTGCTTTATAATCAACTTCTGACATCAACATAACTCTGAGCAAGAGAATCTGAAACAGAGTCACACAAGGAGTAGCGTAATTGGTTGATAATGAGACTGAGTTTTACTGTGAAAGCATTTGGCCAACATCATCACGGTACACAATGAGAGATTCCGTCACTATTCCATTCATTCTTCCACAGGTGAACTTTAAGATCCCATTTAAAAGTTCACACACATAAGCACAGTTATTACTCCACTTGAGAGAGTAACAGCCTTCCAACCCAGGTGACTGATCAGCAGGGAGCCAATGTCCTACATCATATCACCTTCACGTCTGCATGAACTTGACTTCCTTCCTACAGAGGTATTCAATTGATCGATCAGCAAATCTTCACGTCTACCTCCAGGGGTGGCTGTGAAGCACTGAGAGAATATGTGTTACTACCCTAACTGTAGAAGATTGTAGATGAAGGTGAAAACCAGTACAGAATATCTACAAACCTGAATTCTTTCTTACAAAAACGTCTAGTCAATCAGCAAGCAATTGCTGACCTCCCCAGTGGGTATCTCAGTTTTGCCTGTCCTCTATCCACTTCCTGTTCTGCTGGTACAAAAGCCTACTTTTCCCTATGGTGAATCACCTCCCTTCTAATCTCAGTGCATATGCTGGTGGAGAGAGATGGCAACTGGCTTAAGATATGACCATGTCACTCAGGCCCAGCCCATGGGCCCAACCACCTCCTACTGACAATGGTGATTGGTCTGGGATAAGCACAGAGTGCAAGATAGTCCTGGAAAGACAGGAAGCATCAGTCCCTCTGGATCAACTCTTCCTCCACCACCCAAAGTCACAATTTAGGAGGCTCCTACCCCAAACCAAAGCCAGGACAAAGGAAAGCAGAAACAATAAGAGCACAGATTCCACAAATGATAAATTTGTGAATGTTCTCTAGCCATGACCAAATATTCAGACAGACACATCCCTGGACTTTGTTCATTACTTGAGCTAGTATATGAGTCAGGTTTCTTCAATTTGCAACCAAGAATCCTGATAAATTATAAGTAACCTAAAATCTGTATAACATTAGGCAAAGTGCCAAGGAAACAAAGATATATAGCAAACAATCCCCGCCTCTAAGAATCTTCTTAGCATCTAGCTGGAAAAACAAGAAACACACACACAAATAACTGAAAACATATGGTTCGACTGGATAAGTGCAAAGACGGGAGACACCACAATAGGCTGCATGTTAAGCAAATTTCACAATATAGGGAAAAGGACAGCTGGGTTTTGAAGGATGACAAGGATGTGGTTATCTGGAGAGGAGGCAAAAGGACATTTCAAGAAGGGTGAACTATGAGAGCAGAAATTCAAGAATGTGTACGTTGTATTGGGGAAACAGTGAAGTATAATCAATAAAGAGACCATACAATGTTAAATCTTGGGATAGCAACAATAAATACATGAGTCCAGAAGTGAAAATGATTCACAAGTATTTTTCTAATGACAGACGCATACCTATGTCTAACATTTTACATCTACTCTGTATAATACAATATTGATTACCAAACTAGATTATAATGGTTAAGTGTTGAAATTGAGTTTGGAGAACTAATTAAAAGATAAACACGGTCGTTCCCCTTTCCATTCAGTAGACAACCCTCCCACCTAACCATCTCTTACTGCCTACTCCTATAACATAGCTCAGCCAAAACTGAAGAACTACAGAAGATCAATGATGCTATGGATATTTGACTCAGTTCCTGTTAAAGAACCAGGACGACTAACAGAGCCAGGAACCCCGGGGAGGGGGTTAGAGAAAGAAGCAAACATAAACCAAGGAAGCAACTGGGGCATCCCGTTTGCTTTGTCCAGTTTCTGCATGATGAAAAGTTTATAATTGAAACTGTTAAAGGCATTTTCTATTTCCTCTGTGGTTTGGCCATTTCCCTTGTGTCATTAAGAAATTGCATAGGCAGAGTTTGGATTGGCTCTGGTTGCAAGCAGGAATGCAAAGTGTCCATGTTCCTTTTTCCCCTTCCTGAGGGGAATATTGGTGAGTTCATTAGGAAAAAAAATTAATATTATGATTTCTTTTTTTTTTTTTTTTTTTATATATTTTGACTGGGGCCAGCCTGAACCCACCACCTATGATATGTGGGGCCGGCACCCTACTCCTTTGAGCCACAGGCGCTGCCCTATTATGATATCCTTTTAGGAGCTTTTTTTACTAAATGCCCATTATTACTTTAATAATGAACATAAAAGTTTACTGAGGAATCTTTTGTAACTTAACAATTTATATTTTTCTTATGATATTTCTTAGGATTATTAATTGTTTTCCAGAAATTAAAAAAGACGACATAATTCCTTGGTAATCCCCTTTCCCACCTAGAGTCGTGTCTTCAGTATAATGTTTTCATGACAAAAGCAATCCACTAACACTTTGCCATTTGATACTCACTCACATTTCTATCTGCGGCGTAATGGCACTTGTCTCTAGCAGTATGACATATCTCCATTTTAATTGAGCATGTTACAAAGGAATAAAGACACTCCCTCTTGTAATGGACCTCTCTTCACAAACTTCGATTAACACAACTCCATGGCAGTTACCACTTTAGTCATTATTTACAGACGGAAATTAAAACACTCAATGAAATACCCTTTTAGTTAATCCAAGGGAAGAGGAAAATGAGTTGGGCTATAAATGAGCTTTCATTTTATAAAGATATCATTTTAAGCTTTAAAAGGTAAAATGTCATACTGAAATTTAATTTATAACCTTTTACTATTTACAGTGAAATGGATTATTTTCTAAAGTAAACAAACATGTGATAGTATCATCTCAATATCAGTGGGGAAAGTAGTTTTCCACTTTTTTTTTTTCAAGACAGATTCTCACTTTGTCACCCTTGGTAGAGTGCTGTTGTGTCACAGCTCACAGCAACTTCCAACTCTTGGGCTTAAGCGATTCTCTTGCCTCAGCCTCACCCTGAGTAGCTGGGACTACAGGTGCCCACCACAACGCCCGGCTTTTTTTGTTGTTGTTGCTGTTGTCATTGCTGTTTTAGCTGGCCGGGGCTGAGTTTGAACCCACCACCCTCGGTATATGGGGTCTGCACCCCACTGAGGCACAGGAGTGGCCCCAATTTTCCACTTAAGATATGCATGCTTGCTAAGTTTTATGTTTGTTGAATGTTAGAATTGAGATATTTTTAAAAAATCATTCAACATATGTCTCAGGGACAATCCCTGCCATATTTTAAGCTTTGAGAAATAAAAAATTATCTCAACATGTATTGATAATGCACAGAAGTATGGATAAGATTTCAACATTACGTAAAACACACAGAGTAGGAAAAAATAAGGATGGTTTCCTGTTTTCCCAGAATAAGCTTTTGTGGTAGGCGAAGTAATGTCCCCTCAAAAATGTGCGTGTCCTAATTCCCAGAACCCTGTGAATGTGTATGTCACATAGCACAAAGACTTCGCAAGTTTAGTTACCCCAAGGACCTTGAGATAGGAGATTATCCTGGGTTATTCGGGAGGGCCCTATGCAATCAGAAGGATTGTCAAAAGTGGAAGACAAAGATGGAGAAGAAGGTTCAAGTGACATGACCTTGGAAAGATTAGATCTGGCTGGAGTGGCTTTGAAGATGGAGGAAGAGGTCTACGCACCAAGGAATGAAGGTGCCTCTAGAAGCTATAAGGGCAAGAAAATGGATTCTCCCCCAGAGCCTCCAGACAGAAATACAGCCTGTGACACTTTGATTTTAGCCCAGTGAGACTCATATTGGATTTCTGACCTAACTGGACTGCAAAATAGTAAACTTCTATCATTAAGCCATCCAGTTTATTGCAATTATGACAGCCTTGATAGAAAACGAGTACTGGTCACATGTTTCAAATTAGCAGGACTTTAGAAGCTTGACTAAGGCAGCCCTTCACCCCTTGATGGAGTCAAGACACTTTTCAACCAAGAAAAGACCGTGGCCTAATCCCTTCATTGTCCAGATGAAGGAACTTATCCAGATATAACGAGAAGTTAGATGACTTACCTTAGGCTTCAAAGTTCAAGGCAGAAACGGGCTAGAATCCAAGTTCACTAAATTCTAGATGAGTGTTAGTCATAGTATGCCTCCCAGCCTCTTTCACTAATGAGGGGTTTTGACTGTAGTTTAACAGCCATTACAGAATGATTTGGAAGAAGAAACAGTTGTTGGAAAGTGCACATTTTCAGAAACTATGCAGAAGAATTATATTTCTATACTGTTTGAATCTGTGTCCAATTGAGAGTTAAACATAGTGACTTGAATTATCCAGGTATCCCTTGAAACTC